TATCCTTCTACTGGAATGATGCGTGCAGCATAACTTGTAACCATAGATTTTAAAACAAGTTTTAACGGTAAAGCTGGTCTCAGAGATCGGCATTATTTGTATGTGTGTGAATATCCTAGTTTTTTAAAAAAGATTCCAACTTAACTTTTTGTTGCATTAGACCATTGGCATTCCAAAGAGTAATACGCAAAATTTTCAATATTTGCCGATGGATGACGTATTTAAATTTAAAATCGAAAATCTATTAGAGGTTGACATTACTCCTACTGATCGTGGATGTCCATTATTACATGGATCGTCTTTTCTCGATCTTTTTTTTGCGTATGTTTGCAGTTACACGTCTGGAAGAAGTAATTATTACCCATGGCGGAAACAAATATGATATTGGCATATCTTGGTCAAGGATATGCGAAAAGCTTATTTCCATTTACCTGACCGTTTTGAAAGATATTAACTATAATGGCTTCCAATCAAGTTTATCCTCAATATTTACAATGTATGCGAAAGTTATTAAAATCATTTTATATTCTATTCTTTTTTATTATTATATATAAGTTATATATAATAATAAAAAAGAATAGAATATAAAATGATATATATATATATATATATATATATATATATATATATATATAATATTTACGTATATTTATGTATAATCTATTCAAGCGGATGCAAAAAAATCCTTTGCAGAGAATAACTGATATGCATATCAAAAGTGTGAATTGGAGGGATACGTATGAGTTATTCATGGTACTATAAGTACTTGTATTTTTTTGAAAGCGGAAGAACCCTGGAAAAGATAAACAATTACCTACGCATTTCCGCGTTTATGATATCGTCTAATTGATAATTTAATATTAATTACAGTTGTAATGTAATTTCAGAGACATTTAAATACATATATATGATTTATGTATCTAAAAGCAATAAAACATTAGAAATGTATCAATAATCATTCGAAACACTAGATGTTGAAAGAGAAAAATTTTTCCGAACGAATTCGTACAATTCATCTAGAAAAAAAGAATAAATCGGAGTTCTATTTTGTCTGTACTTATAGTATTTTGCAACGACATTTACAGAATTCAACCAACTGCAATAAAAGGCAAAAGAATGGACCCATGTTTTTTAAAGGAAATGCATTCGCTGATGAGAGAATACTTGAAGCTTGAGTTTAGCAGAGTCGGTTACAGAAGCTTTCATCACTTCTGCAAAAAGCTTGTATCTAGTCTCATACCTATACTACAGCTGGAAATGCTATATTACTATTCAAAAATGCACGTTGGACCATTTTAATCAAGAACAAAAGTTTTCGTTTGAAAAGATACAAAAGCATTCATCTTTACGTTTTTAATGCAAAAATCAGAGTCAACATGACGTTTATCAATTTACCATAATAATTTTTCTAGGTTTCTATATTTTATAATAAAGCATTTATATATAGTAGTCATTGAAAAATACAAGCTATGGAGGTCAATATTGTACCAATTAAATCAATTCCTACACCAACAATTAGTATTTTACTTCTGTGTGACCTCGAAATGAATTGAATCGTCACGTTGAACAGATTTTTTTAAATTCAATTTCTATGAATACGTAAAAGGAAAACGTGCGACTACAATTGACGCATACGGTTTGTGAAGGAGGCACATCTGTCTTTGAAAAGTAAGATGATTCTTACTTATTCCTACAAAACCATTGTAAAGGAAATAAATAAGAAATAATCAATAAGATTTTTTCATAATTTAATTATTAAAGCACGATTCCTTATAACATATTTATATATAATATATTTTATCTTCTCAATTGACAAATTGAATAGAAAATTCGATAGGATTCAAATTAAAGCGTTTGTTAACGAGAGCGATTTGTTTTCGTCGCCATTATCAAGTGAGTCTCTTCGTTAAAACATTTAGCTTAATTTAACGTGGAATTATCGCGTCTATTAGACTCTCGAACTAGTCGAACGTTTCCAACGTTTCAATTGTCCGACGAAGTTTTTATTGAAGTGAAAACTTCTTTAGAATAGGGAGTGATTTGAAAAAAATGAAACGTTGGTTCAGGCAACGAAGCGGTAGATGGTGAGGCAACGGAGCCTGTATACAGATAAGCAACGTAGTTCAGTCAAAATAGCCCTGAAATCGGGTTTTTGAGTTATACGGCTGAAAAATATAGAAATTATCAGAAAAATACGCACAAAACTGTGGGCAAAGTAAAAAAGTTCTCAACCACCGGGAAAGGGGTGAAAAAAATTAAAAACTACCCCAAAATACGATTTTTGGATTATATGTTGAAAATATCAAAAAAAGTTTCAAATAAAAGTTGTAGAGCATAAAATT